TAACTCCTGATTTGGTATATACACGTCCAAGTATTAGTAATTCAATTATTAACTCCTGATTTGGTATATACACGTCCAAGTATTAGTAATTCAATTATTAACTCCTGATTTGGTATATACACGTCCAAGTATACGAGTCAACCACAGGGAAAATAAGCATAGCCAATCGAGTAGGAAAACTCAAGTTGTAAACTTGTGTGTTTATTAGCGAGCACTGCTGTTTGCCATTATTCCACATATAATTGATTTCTACAAATGAAACAAGTGCTCAGTATGTTCAAAATAAAATAAAAAACTTTTAGATTATAAGAGAAATGTCCAGGATGAATATTTTTACTTTTCTATGCTCAGCAGGTGACATCTTATTTAATGCTTAGTCACTGTTGCATCAGTAATTAGTACTATACTGTAGATTATTTAACACGGGTTACACTTCTTATCATAAATGTTTCTTTTTCACTCAATAACACTTACCAAACACTGGTTCTTCTAGACTTCCTTTGATCTTAACACCCTTTGATGTGCTTTCTATTAGCAGATGCCGTACCAGCTCCCTGGGATCAAACTTTCCTGCAGATCAGTAAAGCATAAATTTTTTGTTAGGAGCATAGTATGGAAAAACCTCAGTGTTGAGACGTTATGATAAAATACCTTTTTGCCTACACTGTAATATTTGGCCCCTAATTTTTTCGACTTGCTTCATCTACTTCTTGGGTTTACCTCCTTTGCACGGTCAGACATAGTTCAACAGTTAGCCTTTCCTACCCACGATCATCTTAAGTCATCCTATATGCACACATGGGTTTCTCTTTTTTTCTATCTAATCATAGTATAATATCTTAAAACACAATCAAGGAATACCCCTGGTATTATCCACCCAAATCCCTCCATGTTTAATTATCATTCTAATATTTTCTCCTACACTCAGTATCAAATAATTAAGCCAACTCAGTTTACTATTCCCTCATCCATCGTGAACAACTTCAAAATCATTCATTTCACATTTCCAAGCAGTTACGGTTTCAAAGAATTTTAATTTCTATAACATTTTCTCATTGCATATCTACAAATAACAACATTGTTTTAATATAGGTAGTGAATGTAAATTACCAAAAGACAGTACTGAACTGTGGCATAGAATGATGATTGATGGTAAAATAAGATTACCCGATGCCCTATACCACACAGGTTGCAATAAGCTGTGTACGAAAAGTGACAGCTTGCACGTTTATAAAGACCAAACATCCTGTAGAATACACATTGAGCAAAGGATCTACTAATTTATTTCAAAATGTTGATAATGTTAGTCTACTGTATTTAAATACACATACATCAACTAAATTATCTTGTTTCAATGCTTAGATCTTATCCCTAAGTGCTTACACGAAAGATTTTGATCCAAAGTTTATACCTGAGACTTTGATCCAGTATCTGATCAGGCTTCCTAATCATTATAAGTAACTGAAAATACAGAATGATTCAAAGAAACAAATTACCAGAATCTGATCCACTATCTGTTGATAAAAATGGAACTTTGACTACTAATCCAAAACACCCTGGGAAAGTAAAACTTTTCCGTACCAAAAACGTTCCTGGTGGCTTGTCTTTTAACATATCGGTAGCTGAATCAATAATAATAATAATTTAGTTGATGCTTCATTGGAAACTCGACGAGAAAGATTAACAATTAAATGTAAAATGTTATTTTCAAAAATCAAAGATTGGTTCTGAAAGTTTAATTTATTTAACAGATGTTTAGAGAGTATCTGTACACCAATATATACAAAACTTCTGTTTAAAATACAAAAAAAAATCAGGTCTGTTATTTTACAGTATTTCAAAACTATTTTAAGATTTAAGTAATCTGCTTTACATTTAATAAAAAAATGGAGAGTGACAAAAGTGTTCGTAATATTCAAGAAAGGTTATAAAATAACCTAAAATCTAACTGATGCTGAGAAAAATCTCTCACTAGTATATTTATAGAGTTTTCTGGAATACAAGTATGTTATTAGCTTCAATTATATGGTAATTCTATAAACACACCAATTGCTTTTATAATTCACTAAATAAAGTATTAATCAGCATTAGACATATTGTTCTTAGTAGTTAAAGGTGCTGATGTATTTTTCAATAAAATTGCTTAATAATGGTTTAAATAAATACATTTATTACAATAGAAAACTATAATTGTGCACTAAGGTCCAATAGTTTAACAAAAGGTGAGAAAAACAATACTCCAATCATTGAGTTCTGTAAATCTGAAAAGTAGCCAAGTAGCTTTGTAAAGCCTAAAGTATTAGTTGGTTTATAATCCGACAGGTAAAACTCTACATCAATAATCCATAATCAATTTATGCAAGTACTTTGTGCTATCTGCAAATGTTATAAAGATTAACAGCTTTATAAAAATATGAAGTTAATTACCTGACTAGTTTTGACGTACCACATGCGTCATTTTCAAAGATATATTCACCGCATGCCTTTGAAAATGAAGCATGTGGTATGTCGAAACTAGTCTGGTAATTGACTTCATATTCTTTGTAAATTTGTTTTTGTTTTTCCTTACTTAATATATGCTTATAAAGCTTTTAATCTTTACAACAGCAATCCATACCTTCATCTTTGGACAGATCAGGTCTGTACCAATATTTAGAAGAGTCCTTTGCGAAGAATGGTAGGTGCATGGTAACTTGAGACATACCTGTGAGAAAGATATAATCGTTAAATGAAGTAAGTTTGTGTGGAACTTTCTAGATTTAGTTTATTTAGTGGGTGTAATAATTTAAAAGAATATCTACAGTAATATTATGATGGTATCTTAGCAAATCTGATTTTCATAAAATCTGTGTAGTCTGTCTTGGTAAACATGTAGAGATTACATTTATGTACCCTAATCTTTGACTATGACAAGACTTGCTTGATGTACCTTCTGTATTACTATGATAGTACTTGCATGATGTATGACTATGATAGTACTTACATGATGTATTACTATGATAGTATTTGCATGATGTATGACTATGATAGTACTTGTATGATGTATGACTATGACAAGACTTGCTTGATACATTCTGTATTACTATAATAGTACTTCCATGATGTATGACTATGATAGTACTTACATGATGTATGACTATGATAAGACTTGCTTGATGTACATTCTGTATTACTATGATAGTACTTGCATGATGTATTACTATGACAATACTTGCTTGATGTACATTCTGTATTACTATGATAGTACTTACATGATGTATGACTATGATAGTACTTGCTTGATGTACGTTCTGTATTACTATGATAGTACTTACATGATGTATGACTATGACAATACTTGCTTGTTGTACGTTCTGTATTACTATGATAGTACTTGCATGATGTAAAAGCAAGTATTGTCATAGTCATACATCATGCAAGTACTATCATAGTAATACAGAACGTACATCAAGCAAGTATTGTCATAGTCATACATCATGTAAGTACTATCATAGTAATACAGAACGTACATCAAGCAAGTACTATCATAGTCAGATGTACGTTCTGTATTACTATGATATTACTTGCATGATGTATGACAATGACAATACTTGCTTGTTGTACCTTCTGTATTACTATGATAGTACTTACATGATGTATGACTATGACATTACTTGCTTGTTGTACCTTATGACTATGTTAGTACTTGCATAGTGAGATCGAGAATCAAGGATGTCAAATGAGGCAGTACAGTAAATAACTTGTAGGAATCTGAGAAATACACTGTCCACTCCATCTCAGCACACTATCTTTGAATGTGACAAATGTCTCTGTCAGTGAACATCCTGGATAGGACGTTTTAGCCACCATAACATGTGCCTGAATTAATAAACCCTTAAATGTGTGCAAAAAACAACAACAAACAAGACAGACAACAGATGTCTGCTACTACTTATTAGTAGTATAGAATGATGTAGCTAATTTTCGTATACTGAGGCCACCTAACCTGTGAGTGACAACATGCTGGACTGACAAGACTGACTTGAGGCTGGAGAACTCTGACTACCTACTAGACGTCCATACAGATGACCAATTTCCATCCTGTGTAGAAGACAATAAGGTTAAACCAGTAATGTGTAAAATACATGCAAGATTAAATATTTAATCAAACATTTATCCTAATTATCTAAGAAAATCTCAAAGAATGGACTTGGAAGATGCTGTTATGTTCTTCTTGCAGAAAAACTCATAGCTTAGGGACAGTAATAGAAGATTTGTAAAACATTATAATCAATATTACTATGACGTGACCTCACAACTGCTCATAATCAACAGATTTAATTATTCATAAACTGTAACAGTAATCTATAATAATAATAATAGGGCATGTCTGTGTGTGTGTGTTTGACCACCAAAGCTCCAAGAGCGAAGTACCTAGAAACCTGAAATTTTGTACCCATACTAAGTAGACCCTGAGGGTGAGCATCTGCTTATGTTATCCACGTGCTGGTGTACATCTTTTTAATGAAGCAAGCTAGCAAAAAACCACATGGAAAAGAAATGTGACTGCCACATCTCCAAGAATAAAGAACATCGAAATATGAAATTTTGTACCCACACTAAGTAGACCCTGAGAGTGTGCACCTGGGTATTATTACTTATCTTATCCAAGTGCATGCGTGCATCTTTTTAATAAGGCAAGCTAGCGAAAAACTACATAGAAAAGAAGTGGTTCCTCCTAATATATAGAAAAGCCAGTACATTTTAGTAACAATGCGTTTCAACAATGACTTTTATGTCATGTTGCTTAACAACAAAAGTATATAAGTTATACTTTTATGGTAAAATAGGTTAAGAATACACACAATGACATAGTCATCTAGAATATATCAACCTAATAACCCGAGCAAAGCTGGGTACTTTCGCTAGTACTAGCTAAAATGTCTTACCACTTAAAGTACATCTACAGCTTATTCTTTATTCATCCTCTGAGGACTTAGTGCAAATTTTCAGAGCTTATAATGTAAGAATTTGGGGTATGATCTCCATGGGATAGCCCACTGTGCAGCTTTGTGCTAAAATAAATGAAATAATTAAAATATTCATGCTTTATTTTTTCAAATTGTTTTCACTTACTAATGTTACATGCACTTCAAAGTAATCATAGGTAATGTCATTATAATAAATTGGTATTACTGTCTCATTTTCAATGCATCCAGGTAAAAGAACACAACTTTCACTGACTTATTTTTGGACCACTTAATTATAGTATGCTGCACTGAGGGGCCTTGGTTACTTTGAAGTTATATATTCTGAGTATACTGAATTAACAATTATATATATATATACTTTAACGACATGCTACACTTTAAACTGTGCTACATTACTTTAAATATATTTTCAGTATGGCTTGCTGCTATCACCTGTTTTAACCCTTCACACCACAATACAGTAGTGTGTTGTCTGTCAGTCAGTAGACACTAAAATGACGTCACATGAGAGATACTTAACATTGCAATTTGTACTGTCATGAGGTCAGTAAAATGTGTGTATGCCATGAATCATGAGAACAATTATGCACTCTGTAGGCTACAACACAGCATGACATATTAACTTCAAAAGCAAGAAATAAAAATATTTGTTACTCTCAACTTTGGTTTTATTTACTCTTGAAACAGAATACTTTTGGGGACCCTGCAGAAGTACATCTAGTGTCTTAATATAACTTACCTCGGAACTGTTGAACTTTTAGGTATCTCATTTATAAAGCCAGTGAATGGTAGCTCTGAAAAATTAAAAGATGAAAGTTATAATTTAGCATTATCACAAATAATTATATCTTAGGCTACTTTCCATGCACACATACACATAGACATTGATTAATATTAGCTTCTGATCAAAACCAAAAATCCACCGAGTAATAAGTAAAGCTAATTAAATATACTTTTCTTACATTATAACTTATAACGATTAGAATCCATTGTTTTATCAGTTGGCTGCCCTCACTGTTAACGAAATTTTCGTCCATAAACCTAGTAATATCTCATGGGAGTTCAACCAGCTTAGGCGATTTAGGTTAATTCTAAACCAACATATTAAGCTAACAATCCGAAACAATTTCTGTAATAAAAGTGTAATAACACCTAAACGTTCTAACCAATACTGTTGATGAAAGAAACATTAAAGAAAGAAGAGTATACACTCACTAAAGGGACACACAAAAAACTAGTTGTTAACTTCAGGTATTGTTATAGAATAATGTAACTTTAGTATTACAGTGTATAAGTAAAAAAAATTCCACAATTCTCCCTAAAAACGTCTTGTGACCAATGAAAATCCATTAAACGGCTTCAACAAAGTAACTTTAGAGGAATGTGACATCCGAGACGAATTACTACGACACTTGGTACTGTTTATATATATAGCGTCAAGTAGCAGTACCACACCAGTAATACAACCAAAAACTAGTGTTTATCTGACCAATATAAAAGCCGGTGTGTGTCACGTCACGCTTGATTTCTCGAAATAGGAGAGTCATAAAAGTCAAAATGCATTTGTCCATATAGAATAGATCAATTACTGACTGCCCATTATGATTTTGGTTATGGGAATGTAAGGGGGCCGTGATGTGGTTGTGTGTGTGACGTGAGCCCTTATAAGTGTAGTGAGTGTTGGTATAATAAGCCTAAAGTAAAGACGCAGTGTGGGATCACCTATCCTAGAGCCAAGTGCTTAAAATATTGCATGAAAGTAAAAATATCGATTCAATTTTAAACTTAAATCGTTTCTGTATTAAGCTATTTTCTGTTATATCACCAACGTTTTTAATAAAAAAACAAACTTCTTTAATCAACGGAGACTCTGAATTAAGAAATCAACAAATAGTTTCCAGTTTTGTTGTCTATACACATTTTATACTTTTAGTACATAGACTAACAACAATATTACGTTATAGTTTTGTTGCTAAGCAACATGACATAAAAGCCACTATTGGAACGTAGTGTCAGCAAATCTCACTGGCTTTTCTATATATATTCGAAGTTGTTAATCTAACTGATTTATCATAATTATTCTATAAATACGGCACGGATTCATTTCATGGATGATCTAAATTTTGATTGGCTCAAAAATGAATTTACCGACGTTTAACTGCCTCGCCTGTACTTTTCTGCCTCTTTGTTGGTCAAGTTTGATTTTGAAAAAAAATATTTATTTCAGTTAGTTACGAAATGTGAGGATAGGGTATACTATGGGGTGGGGGTGGTAGTACTTGCCCCGTCATTTTTAACGGGCTAAAGGCTAATGAAGATATAAAAAAAAATGATAAGAAATTAAATGAATACCTGAATTTTACAATAAACAGCTAGAGTTTGGTACTCTAACAAAAACAAACCAGGTTAAATGTCATAAAAAGAAAAACAATGTACTAAACATACCATAATGTGCGCTAAGGTGAATAATCAAAGTTATTTATTGTGCATATAGATGGCGTTGCTATAATAACCAATGCTTCATGGTTAATTTTCGAACTACAAAATTTTTTCCAACCACAAAAAATACGGTCAACAGAATAACCAAGTCCCAAACAGTTTATAATGTATACTGAAACAGACGTCTTGAACAGTAAAGAGTAAAGACTGTGATAGAGAAGTTATAATTACAAAAAACATATGGCACCCCATTACATCCTCTTACCAACTATTGTGAAGTTAATGTAATACAAGTTTCAGGCTTCCCTACTCAGTTTACATAAAATTTAAATTAGTAGAAGCAATATAACATGGAGTACACAATTTTAACCCCAGGTAAAATGTTTAATGTAATTAACAGCTATACAAATATATATATATATATACAACACAAAATCTATGTGTCTGTCTGTTTGTCCCTTATCTAGCTACTCCTAGGTTGCTGGGTCAATCTCAACCAAACACTGTGGTATGATAGCTTGGAACAAGGGGCATGTTAATAGGGGGTTCAGAACCTCTCTACCACCATTATTGATTTTACTGAACACTTATTATCTTTGACGCAAGTTAACGTTAACTACATTCGTATGTAGCGTCACGTTCTTACATCAAACAACAACAACAAAACTTTCGAAAATTCCCATCCCTCAGTGGGACAGATGTAAATCTTTGGATTTACAATGCTAAAATCAGGGGTTCGATTCCCTTCAGTGAACACAGCAGATAGCTCGATGTGGTTTTGCTATAAGAAAACATACACACACACATATTAAAGTTTCAATAACATGCATACAGTGTGGGAGAAGGCACACGAACTTCTTATATATCTCAGAGAGTGTGCTAGCACTTTCTGTGGAGGAATGCTATTTAAAAAAAAAAAGGCCGCTATTACTGCAATAATACGTAAACTCAGATGAAGTTGATATGACAACAGTCACCATAACGCTAATATGAAGAACCATTTCTTGAGTTATACCCACTTCCTACTTTGACCCTTGACCTTACAACTTCATCCTATAAGACACTTTGGCGGCCAATGGTCATTAATAAATTATTAACGTAAAACACTGTGGAAGGTGGGTGTTGAGAGAAGGTAACAGAAAGAACCCCTACCGCCACGCTTCGTACAAAATCATTCTGACCATCACACAGTGTATACCATGTTTTAAGTATATACATATTGAGCTCTTAAAGCTTATGAAAAACTTTTGGTGATTTTGGTTAGGTAATAATGAATACTGTAATAATAATATGTTATGTTATAAATATTGTGTTATTTATCATAGCATCCACCACACATTTTTTAAGTTCGTAACATGGATACAAGACGTGTACCCACACATAAAATACCTCCCAGTCTGAGTGATAATAGTTTACATAATAAAAAATGAATGATTAATATTAAGTATCTATTTAACCAATTAAGTAATTAACTCATGAGAATAAACAATAAATTAAAATATTTAAATATAAATTACTAAACACACAAAGATATTTGGGATTCTGTTGAAATATTTCAGAATTCATCAGTTACTTTTGAATGATTTACCTTTCAATGTTTTTTTAATGTTCACTCAAATATATTCTTTTCTTTGACATAAATGATCGGCCATTAATACCTTGCTGTAACTTCATAACTCTGAATATTTACATAAAAACTTTACAGTTTAATGCCCTAACTTACACACTACAGTGATTAGTATCACTGTAAACATTACATATTCAGACTTTTGTTTTTTTACCCTGAGTCACATTCAGTGTTTCAGAAGTTGGTGGAACAAGTGAAATGGTATGGATACTAGAAGAAGTGTCATCTCTCACTGAGTCACCCTGAAACATGGAAACATGCTTTGTAGCCTAGTTTTGGTATCGATAACACTTTTCATTTACATCTGTTTAAAATCAAAGAAAATTGTTTTCTATTTTTGTGCTTGAATGAAATAAAAGGTAAAAACTTTAATTTGCCTCTTATACTGAATCAAGAGGCTTGAAAAGTTTTCAAAGCCTCACTTAAATAATACTTTTTGTTTTTCTGACATGCTTAATATTCTGTTGCTTTAGTATTAAATGTAGAATTACAAAAATACATTCATTATTAGCCTACTATTCAAAACATTAGATCTGAAAGTTATTTCAATATTTGAATCAAAGTTATTTGTTTTCTTTTTTTGTAACTAGTTTTCTATAATTTTAATCCAGAATCTTTGTT